AGGTTACGTTAGGTTAGGTTACGTTAGGTTAGGTTACATTAGGTTACGTTAGGTTAGGTTAGGATGGTTAGGTTAGGTTTAGGTTAGGTTAGGTTAGGTTAAGTTAGGTTAGTTAGGTTAGGTTACGTTACTTTACGTTAGGTTACGATAGGTTAGGTTACATTAGGTTTCGTTAGGTTATGTTAGGATAGGTTAGGTTACGTTAGGTTACCTTAGGTTAGGTTAGGTTAGTTAGGTTAAGTTACGTTACGTCAGGTTAGGTTAGGTTAGGTTAGGTTAGGTTAGGTTAGGTTAGGTTAGGTTAGGTTAGGTTAGGTTAGGTTAGGTTATATCAGGTAAGATTAGGTTTGGTTAGATTAGGTTAGATTACGTTAGGTTAGAGGTTAGGTTAGGTTAGGTTAGGTTATATCAGGTTGATTAGGTTTGGTTAGGTTAGGTTAGATTACGTTAGGTTAGGTTAGGTTAGGTTACGTCAGGTTAGGTTAGGTAGGTTAGGTTAGTAGGTTAAGTTAGGTTAGGTTAGGTTAGGATGGTTAGGTTAGGTTACGTTAGGTTAGTAGGTTAGGTTACGTTAGGTTAGGTTACGTTAGGTTAGGTTAAGTTAGGTTAGGTTACGTTAGGTTAGGTTTCATTAGGTTACGTTAGGTTAGGTTAGGATGGGTTAGGTTAGGTTAGGTTAGGTTAGGTTAGGTTAAGTTAGGTTAGGTTAGGTTAGGTTACGTTACTTTACGTTAGGTTACGATAGGTTAGGTTACATTAGGTTTCGTTTAGTTAGGTTAGGGATAGGTTAGGTTACGTTAGGTTACCTTAGGTTAGTTAGGTTAGGTTAGGTTACGATACGTTACGTTTAGTAGTTAGGTTAGGTTAGGTTAGGTTAGGTTAGGTTAGGTTAGGTTAGGTTAGGTTAGGTTAGGTTAGGTTAGGTATATCAGGTAAGTTAGGTTTGGTTAGATTAGTTAGATTACGTTAGGTTAGTTAGGTTAGGTTAGGTTAGGTTAGTTATATCAGGTTAGTTAGTTTGGTTAGGTTAGGTTAGATTACGTTAGTTGGTTAGGTTAGGTTACGTTCAGGTTAGGTTAGGCTAGGTTAGGTTAGGTTAGGTTAAGTTAGGTTAGGTTAGGTTAGGATAGGTTAGGTTAGGTTACGTTAGGTTACGTTAGGTTAGGTTACGTTAGGTTAGGTTAGGTTAGTTAGGTTAGTTAGGTTAGGTTAGGTTAGGTTACGTTACTTACGTTAGGTTACGATAGGTTAGGTTACTTAGGTTTCGGTTGGTTAGGTTAGGATAGGTTAGGGTTACGTTAGGTTACGTTAGGTTTAGGTTAGGTTTAGGTTAGTTAGGTTAGGTTAGTTAGGTTAGGTTAGGTTACGTTAAAGTTAATTACGTTACGTTAGGTTTAAAGGTTAGGTTAGGTTAGGTGAGGTTTGCATTAGGTTACGTTAGGTTACGTTAGGGTTTCGTTAGGTAAGGTTAGGTTAGGTTAAGTTAGGTTACATTAGGTTCGTTAGGCTAAGTTACTTAGGTTAGGATAGGTTACGTTAGGTTAGGATAGGTTAGGTTAGGTAAGTTAGGTTAGGTTAGTTAGGTTAGGTTAGGTAGGTTAGGTTAGATTAGGATAGGATAGGTTAGGTTAGGTTAGGTTAGGTTAAGCTAGGTTAGATAGGTTATTTTTAGGTTACGTTAGGTTAGGTTACGTTAGGTTAAGTTACGTTAGGTTAGGTTACGTTATGTTGGTTAGGTTAGGTTACGTTAGGTTACGTTGTTTTTAGGCTAGGTATAGGTTAGGTTAGGTTAGGTTAGTTAGGTTAGTTTAGGTTAGGTTAGGATAGGTTAGGTTAGGTTAGGTTAGGTTAGTTTAGGTTAGGTTAGGTTAGTTTAGTTAGGTAGTTCTAGGTTAGGTTACGTTAGATTACGTAGGTTATGTTAGGTTAGGTTTGGTTAGGTTATGTTACGTTAGATTAGTTAGGTTAGGTTAGGTTAGGTAAGGTTAGGTTTGGTTAGGTTAGATTAGGTTATATTAGTTAGGTTAGGTTTAGGTTAGGTCAGGTGAGATTAGGTTAGGTTACATTAAGTCAGCTTAGGTTAGGTTAGCTTAAGTTAGGTTAGGTTAGGTTACGTTAGGGTTTGGTTAGTTAGGTTAAGTTAGGTTAGGTTAGGTTACATTAGTTTACGTTAGGTTACGTTACGTTACGTTATGTTATGTAAGGTTAGGTTAGGTTAGGTTAGGTTAGGTTACATTAAGTCAGCTTAGGTTAGGTTAGCTTAGGTTAGGTTAGGTTAGGTTAGGTTAAGTTAGGTTAGGTTAGGTTACATTAGGTTACGTTAAGTTACGTTAGGTTACGTTAGGTTAGGCAAGGTACGGTTTCTCAAGACACTGGACAAGTTTTTCCTGAGCGGGTGTTAGTCAACTGATGACCCGCCACTTGGGGTTATGGTCATCTGACCGAGGCCTTCCACTAGCGTACCGGTCCACCCCTTTAAAACTTAATGGAGTAGTGCACAGTGTGGTCTATGTTAATGCACTTAAATATCAGCGCGAATGAGAAAACATGCATGATATATTTAATTAAAACCTTCCATTAAATACAGCTGCTATGAAGCTAAGCCAGCAACTTCCATTCGCTCTTAAAAGTTGTGGTATCATGTTATCAGCGTTGAAATGTTTAAGCAAATGGATTGTGAAACTTGGAAATTATTACTTAATTAAGAAGAAAAATTTCGATATTCGCAATTCCTTCCAGGAAAGGCAAGTTGAGATCAAAATCAGTCAGATGTTTTCTGTAGGTAAGACAGATCAGCTTTTAACAAAATAAATTTTATTTGAATTTTCGATGCATAACATACTGTTGTTTTGACAGTGATATTAAAGACACACAGGTAATTTTTAACATGCTTGCCGTCTCCTACTAATGTACAAATTAATTCCGTATTTTCATAAGAAAATGGACATTATTACATACCTTTTCGCATGACTCGATTATAAGCTTTGGGGCCCCATTGCATAAAACTAGTAAGGACCCCTACCACTCAAACGTCAGTGTCAGTTTACATACTGGTGGTATGTAAAGTGATGATACCAAGCTATTTTGAAAAGCATCACCAATGTTCAGTTGCTAACAAAGGAGTTGCCAGCAAGGAAGTTGCTAACAAGGGAATTGCTTACAAGAGTTGCTAACAAGGGAGTTGCCAGCAAGGAAGTTGCTAACAAGGGAGTTGCTTACAAGAGTTGCTAACAAGGGAGTTGCTAACAAGGAAGTTGCTAACAAGGGAGTTGCTTACAAGAGTTGCTAACAAGGGAGTTGCTAACAAGGGAGTTGCTAACAAGGTAGTTGGTAACAAGGGAGTTGCTAACAAGGTAGTTGATAACAAGGTAGTTGCTAACAAGGAAGTTGCTAACAAGGGTGCTAACAAGGGAGTTGATAACAAGATGGTTGCTAACAAGGGTGCTAACAAGGGAGTTGCTAACAAGGGAGTTGATAACAAGATGGTTGCTAACAAGGTAGTTGCTAACAAGGTAGTTGCTAACAATAGTTTGCTAACAAGGAAGTTGCTAACAAGGTAGTTGCTAATAAGGTAGTTGCTAACAAGGTAGTTGCTAACAAGGTAGTTGCTAAATCACAGATAGTTGCTAACAAGTAGTTGCTAACAAGGTAGTTGCTAACAGTAGTTGTAAAGGTAGTTGCTAAAAGGTAGTTGCTAAACAAGGTAGTTGCTAACAAGGTAGTTGCTAACAAGGTAGTTGCTAACAAGGTAGTTGCTAATAAGGTAGTTGCTAACAAGGTAGTTGCTAACAAGGTAGTTGCTAACAAGTAGTTGCTAAAAGAAGTGCTAACAAGGTAGTTGCTAACAAGGTAGTTGCTAATAAGGTAGTTGCTAACAAGGTAGTTGCTAACAAGGTAGTTGCTAACAAGGTAGTTGCTAACAAGGTAGTTGCTAACAAGGTAGTTGCTAACAAGGGGTTGTACAAGGTGTTGCTAACAAGGTAGTTGCTAACAAGGTAGTTGCTAACAAGTAGTTGCTAACAAGGTAGTTGCTAACAAGGTAGTTGCTAACAAGGAGTGTAAAAGGTTGCTAACAAGGTAGTTTGCTAACAAGGAGTTGCTAACAAGGTAGGTGCTAACAAGGAGTTGCTATAAGGGAGTTGCTAACAAGGAGTTGCTAACAAGGGTGCTAACAAGGGAGTGCTAACAAGGGTTGCTATCAAGGGAGGTAACAAGGGAGTTGCTAACAAGGGAGTTGCTAACAAGGGAGTTGCCAACAAAGGAGTTACTAACGAGGGAGTTGCTAACACCTTTCATTTTCTCTGCGTTTATGTGACGCCCCTAAGTATTTAGCGCTTCCTCACGAGAATTTTAACATTTTGCAATATTTTTCTACGAGTACTTTGTAATTTAGTTAAAAAAAATCTGTTTTTTTTTTTTTGCATTTTTATTTCTGCAGCGAGAATACAGTTATAATGAAGGTATAACTAACATAATGTATTTAAAATTATTTTAGCTTGAATAAAGATAATTTTTTTATAATGTATATATTCAAACAGAAAGTGCTTTACTGTAGGTCTAACTTTACCTAAATAACTACAAAATCATAATATAAAAAACTGTCCATTTTACCAAATGTTTTACAATGTTTGTTGAAATGTTTGTAATGAACATATTCGGAGAGAATTATTTAAGGATTATTCAATTTGGCGAAATTATGTGGGATTTACTATTTGGAAAGGAAGCATCAGCAAGTGAGCAGCTGTCTCCACCTCCCTGTCTGTCTGTTTTTTCCGAATTATTTAAAAGAGTATCAGCAGGTGAGCAGCTGTCTCCACCTCCGTCTGATTCTCTCCGTCTTATTTAGGAGAGTAATATTGACAGACAAATCGCTGTATTTTCAAACAGGAATCATCGTTCAGCATCAGATGCATGTTAGTATCAATGTCAACACAGATCTCTGTTCCACTATAGTCGTTGGGTTCACCAAACGCCCAGAGACTTGAATTGATTGGTCTTCCGTCCATCCAGGTCCACTCAGAGGTTCCTGGGGTGTTGTTCTTGCCTCCCAAAATGGCTTTTATATAACCTGTTTTCTCAGCGTCACATGGATCAGAGGAAAGAAATAATATTATTAATTATATTTAAACAAGAAATGCTTTGTACAAACATTCATATACACTATTTACAAACAATATATATATATATATATAATTATATATATATATATTATATATATATATATATATATATATATATATATATATATTATATTATATATATATATTATATATTATATATATATATATAATATATATCATTTATTATAAAACCAACTGCGGCAGGTCAGGACTCGACCTTACAAACCTTGTACCGCCTCAAGGGGTCGTCACGTCAATTATATGTTGCTTTTTTGTTTACCGTCCAATTTCCTTCAGTTTTGGTACACAAGACGAAGTGTTTTCTCTAGTTACTCTAAATATTTATCAATAAGATACCTCAAACAACAACTGAGAAAAGACTGAAAAAGGACTGATTTACTGAAAATGCCCTTTGGCAGGTTACTTGTCCTATATGGGACGACGTAAGGTTGTTTGGACACTTGGTGCCGAGACAACAATGCTTGTACGAACTCCTCATGGTTTAGTTTCCTCTAAATATCTTATCTTTATTTCACAAAAAAATAAAGTTTGTTAGTTCTTGGAATGTTGTAAAAACTCTGCCCTTTACTCCCACATAACTCTCATAATTGGAATATTTCCAAAAATGTACCATCAGAAATTAAAGAAATCATTATTTTACAATTTCTGTGAATATTATTCCATTTAATTAAGTAATAAAGGCATCGATACCATGCCTAACCCTTCTAGGGTAGGGTAGGTGCCTGAGCCCGAGCCTTTAGCTCATAAGACTGTCATTCCCATTTGCCCCCTTGGGGCGGGGATGGCAGACCAGAGAGGCCTAGCTTGTGGCTAGGCCTGGGGACAGTTGGTCCCAAAGATAAGGAGGTACTTGTGCCTCCTCCCATGGGAGACTTAGGTCTCAGACACTCCCTAACGAGGGAGCCAAGGCCGGGCCACCTCTTGGAAAAGGCCCGGGCCGGGAGAATACCGGCAAATCTTTAATAATAATAATAACAACAATAATAATGAAGGCGTACCTTAGCGAAATAAGTGAATAAGTTACTTCCGAGATATTGGCCTGGAGCACCGGCCGGCCCCCCGTCTAGAAAAAATAAGAAATAAAAATTCGCGAAAATAGCGTTTATTTCGGTGTATTTCTTAGTAAACTGATGTTCTAGTGCAGTTATCCTCTTCAAAATACCGTTTTCTCTTATTCAAAGACGACATGAGGAGTAACTCATTTATATCGAAATATTCCCGATGGTCTCTCTCCATATCATGGCTTATTTTATTCAGTCTAGATTATATAAGATGTTTGTATGTTATTTATAGTGTTTATTATATCATATTAGATCAATTCTGATAGATAAATAAGCCGTAGAGTTGATATATAAGCTTTTATTTTTTAACACACTGGCCGATTCCCACCAAGGCAGGGTGGCCCGAAAAACAAAAACTTTCACCATCATTCACTCCATCACTGTCTTGCCAGAAGGATGCTTTACACTACAGTTTTTAAATTGGAACATTAACACCCCTCCTCCATTATTAGCTTATATAAGCGTAATAATGAAGTGAGTTCTCGTGGCTCTCTCTGGAGCGGGAATACTGCAAGTGTTACTAGATGGTTCCTGATTGGCTGGCACTCTACGGATAAGCTCCGCCTACTCTTCTATGATGCCAAATAGTCAAATATTATATTAGGAAGAATAATGCAAGAAAAAGAGATAAAAATCAAGGAAAAAATTACAAAAAAATATATGTGCTGTGAGCAGACGCACTACCCATATCACCGTCACCTTATCTGATATAAATGACTATAATTTCTTGTATTATTATTATAATCAAAAAGAAGCGCTAAGCCAATAATTTCTTGTAGAAACGTCGTAGATCATTGATTCTGGTACCATTGTGTTGCCAAAGAGTTAAGCTATTTTTCTGTATATATAACTCAATTTCCATAATTTTTTAAATTTTTTTTGAGAGCGCGCGGAAAATTGCCTGGTCGGCCCCTCAAGAGACAAAATACACGCATCACCTTACCACTACGCCACTGATCCTACAAGAACCAAGCACACAGCACGTAGCTATGTGATCGCCTTGGCCCGAGGACACTCGTGGCAGTGGTATCTCAAGGATTAATTTCAGCCTCATCCTGTTTGAATACCCGCCTCAACAAGCAATCTATATAGCAATGAAATTACGAAGCAAGTTGAGGCGGGTATTCAAACAGGATGAGGCTGAAATTAATCCTTGAGATACCACTGCCACGAGTGTCCTCTGGCCAAGGCGTCACATAGCTACGTGCTAGGGGGCCCGGGGGCCCTGGTGGCTAAAGCTCCCGCTTCACACACGGAGAGCCGGGTTCGATTCCCGGCGGGTGGAAACTTTTTCGACACGTTTCCTTACACATGTTGTCCGGGTTCACCTAGCAGCAAATAGGTACCTGGGTGTTAGTCGACTGGTGTGGGTCGCATCCTGGGGGACAAGATTAAGGACCCAATGGAAATAAGTTAGCAGTCCTCGATGACGCACTGACTTTCTTGGGTTATCCTGGGCGGCTAACCCTCTGGGGTTAAAAATCCGAACGAAATCTTATCTTGTGTGTTTGGGGTTCTTGTAGGATCAGTGCGTAGTGGTAGGTGATGCGTGTATTGTTTTGTCTCTGGAGGCGGTACAAAGTTCAAAGGTCGAGTTCTGCCCTGGCGCAGTTTGGAAAATTTATTTAAAATCACTTGTTTGTCGGAGGATCTCAACTTCAAGGACCATAACATTATATCAATTGCAGCTGCTAGAAAAGTGACAGGATGGATAATGAAAACCCTTCAAAACTGGGATCCCAAGCCATGATGACACTCTTCGGGTTTCACTTGTTCTATCTTAGGCTGGAATTATTGCTGCACACTAACAGCCCCTTTTCAAGGCAGGTGAAATTGCTGACCTAGAAAATGTACAGAGAACCTTCACGGCGCGCATAACGGAGATAAAACACCTCAATTACTGGGAGCGCTTGAGGTTCCTGAACTGTATTCCCCTGGAACGCAGGCGGGAGAGATACATGATTATATACCCCTGGAAAATCCTAGAGGGACTAGTACGAACTTGCACACGAAAATCACTCACAACGAAAGCAAAAGACTTGGCAGACGATGCAACATCCCCCCAATGAAAAGCAGGGGTGTCATAGCACGTTAAGAGACAATACAAAAAGTGTCAGGGGCCCGAGACTGTTCAACTGCCTCCCAGCATACATGAGGGGGTTTACCAATAGACCCTGGCAGTCTTCAAGTGGCACTTAGCAAGCCCCTAAAGTCGGTTACCTGACCAGCCGGCGTGGCTCGTACGTTGGATTGCATGCAGCAGCAATAACAGCATGGTTTATCAGGCTCTTATCCACCAGGAGGCCTGGTCACAGACCGGGCCGCGGGGGCGTTGACCCCGGAACTCTCTCCAGGTAAACTCCAGGTAAATATATAATATATATATAAAAATATTATATATATATTATATATATATATTTTTATATATATATATATATATATATTATTATATATATTTTATATATATAATATATATATTTATATTTATTTTATATATAAGTATATATATTAACTAGGTAGTAGGTTGGAGACAGCAACCACACAGGGAAGTACTACCGTCCTGCCAGATGACTGTGAAACAGAAAACCCGGAACTGTTTTACATGATGGTAGGATTGCTGGTGTCTTTTTCTGTCCATAAACACGCTAGATAACAGGGATATTTGCTACTCTACTTACACTTTGGTCACTTCACAGACACGCACATGCATTATATATATTATATTATTTATATTTATATATATATATTATATTATTATATATATATATATTTTATATAATACATACATCTAGGTTTTTCTCCTTTTTCTAAATAGCTCTTGTTCTTCTTTATTTCTTCTATTGTCCTGGGGAAGTGGAAAAGAATCTTTCCTCCGTAAGCCATGGTTTTCGTTTTGAGGCGACTAAAAAATTTCCGGGGGGGCAATGGGCTAGTAACCCCTTCTCCTGTAGACATTTTACTAAAAAAGAGGGAAAAAGAAAAACTTTATAAAACTGGGATGCTTTAATGTGCGTGGATGTAGTGCGGATGACAAGAAACAGATGAGTACTGTGTTATGAAAAGAAGTTGGATGTCCTGGCCTAAGCGAAACAAAGCTGAAGGGGGTAGGGAGTTTTCGGTGGGGGGAAATAAATGGGATTAAATTTTGGGTATCTGAGAGAGTTAGAGCCCAAAGGAAGGGGTAGCAGTATGTTGAAGGATAGTTTGGAAGGAGAAAAAAAGAATATGAATGTGTAAATTCAGGATTATGTGGATTAAAGTAAAAAGGGTTTGGGTGCGAGAAGTGGGTCATTTAAAAAGCGTGTATGCACCCGGAGAAGAGAGGAATGCAGAGGAGAGAGAGAGATTTTGGGAGATGTTAATTAAGTGAATGTATAGGAACCTTGAACCAAGTGAGAGAGTAATTGTGGTAGGGGGCCTGAATGCTAAAGTAGGAGAAACTTTTAGAGAGGGTGTGGTAGGTAAGTTTGGGGTGCCAGGTGTAAATGAAAATGGGAGCCCTTTGATTGAACTTTGTTTTAGAAATGGGTTTAGTTATAGGTAATACATATTTTAAGAAAAGAGGATAAATAAGTATACAAGATTGATGTTGGGCGAAAATGACAGTAGTTTATTGGATTATGTATTGGTAGTTTAAAAGACTGTTGAGTTTGACTTCAGGATGTACATGTTTTATAGGGGGCCAAAAGATATATCAGATCACTTTTTAGTTGTAGGACACTGAGAGTAAAAGGTTAGATGGGATACAATGAGAAAGAAGCCCTCAGGGAAGAGAGAGGTGAAGGTTTATAAACTAAAGAGGAGGCAGTTAGGAAAGATATAAAAAAGCTATTGGAGGATAGATAGTGGTAATGGAGCATAGGCAA